AGCTGAGCGTGCACCTGCAACGCCAGCGAGAGTGCAAAAATCCGTACGGCATCACGGCGATGAAGCGCAGTCTGGACGAGCTCTCGGAGAGAGTCTCCAGGACAAGTGGTGGAAATGGTCAAAGTGGAGGAGGAGGAAGCTCAGTGTCCATCTACGGCTCGGCGGCGGCCATTGAGGACCTGGGCGAGTACCTCGACGACGATGAGATCTCGCTGCTGGACAGCATGCACCTGCTGACGGCCTTCAAGAAGCCCTGAAGATCACAGCTAATAATAAAGCAAACACTTCCATCAGAGATCTCCACAAAAATAAAAATTGTTAATTGAGAGAGCAGGGAAGAGGAGGGTGGAGAATTTCAAAATTTGGCAAAGCCAACCAAGTGAGGTGGTGGTGGTGGTGTTTGTGAAATAAGTGTGTTACCAGCAAACAGCAGGAAAGGTGTGTGTTTTGTTTGGAAAGCGAGAGATGATGGGTGGGCGGTAGTGGTGGCATAGANGTTTGTGAAATAAGTGTGTTACCAGCAAACAGCAGGAAAGGTGTGTGTGTTTTGTTTGGAAAGCGAGAGATGATGGGTGGGCGGTGGTGGTGGCATAGAAAAAAAACATATCGACATAATGGAAACAGAAACAGTGGTAGTAAAAAGGTAGTAACACAGGTAGGTGTAGAAAGAAGGTGTGTGGTTGTGTGTTCAGTGTGGGTGTAAATGATACAAACAAAAGGAGACAGGAAAGGAAAAGATACACAGAAGGGTGAAAAAATAATAGTAAAAGTGTGAAAAGACCTGAAAACAAACGTTTGTTTGCATCCTGCCGACTGAAGCAGCAGGTTAAGTTTGGCCACAATCAATCAATCAAACAAATATCAAGCCAACTCCTGGAAAGCTAACTAGGTAAAGAGGAGGAGGAGGAGGAGGAGGAGGAAGAGGAGAAAATGAATGGGGTAACAAAAGGCAAGGCTTTGTTTTGTTTGGTGGTGTCTGGGTGTGTCTGTGCTGGTGCTGATGATGATGATTATAAATGAACGCCTTTTCACAATAATAATGTTAGAGCAGAGGGTGAAAACCAAGGAGAGTGAAAGAGGGAGAGCAATGTAAAGTGTGTTGATTAGTGTGAGATGGCCAAATGGTGCTGGTTCAAAGAGGAGGAAAAGAAGAGGATGATGTTTAAAAGAAACGCCTGAGCGCACATAGACATTCTACTTTGTGTCGGTTAGTGTTGTGTGGAGACATCAAACGGTTTGGTTGCCGCTCTTTTTTCGGGAACTACTAAAATTGTAGTAGAGCAGTAATAATAATAATAATAATTATGGATTAGATTATCACAACGGAAAAGATGCAACGGGGCAATGTAGTGTGGAGATTAGATTTAAAGGATGACACCTCGCAAGAATGCGGCGGCGGCAGCAGAAGGGACCGCACACATCTAGGCAGATTGAAAACCATCAGATAAAATTGGTGCTACAGAAAAAACACTTACCTTGACTGAGCCGCATTTGAAAAGGTGAGGAGGAGTCTGCCTGGAATCAGCCAGCCCATCTTCTTCAATCAGTGCCCATCTGTTCGCCGTCCATCGACTGCTGCTTCATCACACCACCACTAGAACTCGCTCCTCCTGAAGTCGCCCCCGCCCCCGCCAGATTGCTCTGACTGTTCGAATTGGAGCTCGAGTTTGACAGATTGTCCTCCTGCATGGCGTGGTCGTACATGGCGTAGGGTGAGGGCATACTGCCACTGCTGCCACGACCTCCCATCATCAAATTAGAGGATGATGATGATGATNGTTCGAATTGGAGCTCGAGTTTGACAGATTGTCCTCCTGCATGGCGTGGTCGTACATGGCGTAGGGGGAGGGCATACTGCCACTGCTGCCACGACCTCCCATCATCAAATTAGAGGATGATGATGATGATGATTGCTGGGGATGACTAAGACTGTGGGGCAGCAGTGGCTGAGGCGAGTGCTGCTGCTGGTGGAGATGGTGGGGGTGTTGGTGATGCATCAACGACGAAGAAGAGGAAGAGCTGATAATCTGCGGCGGCTGCTGTTGTTGAAGCCCGAGCAGCGAGCTGCTGCTGCTCGAGTTGGAGGACTGAATCATGTTGACTGCACCGCCACTGCCGCCGTTGTTGCCGGCATTGGAGTTGGCAAAGAGGTTGGTGTAGGAGCCAATGGAGGCGAGAAAGAAGTGGCTGCACTTCGGACAGCAGACGGTCTTCTGGCGGGAGATGGGCGAGATCGGCCGCGGCATCAGGTGCTCCTGGTGGCTGATGGGCGAGCTGATGGCCAGCGGCGTGGGCGGCGGCGCCTTCGAGGCGGGCGGCGACATCGCCACCACGTTCATCGGCACCGGCGAGGAGAGGGTGCGCTGGCGGTGGTGGTGGTGGTGGTGGGCCGTCGAAGAGCTGCCGCCTGAGGAGCTGCCGCCGCCGCCGCCGCATCCGATTCCGCTGCTGCTGCTCGACTGCGAGTGAGACTGCGACTGCTGACTGGAGGGAATGGCGGCAATCAGGCCGCTGTCGCTGGTCATCGACGACTGGTGGCGGTCGTCAAAGTCAATCTCCNGGGGGGGGGGGGGAGGAGAGGAAAGTAAAAAGAAAATCGTTAGTTTACACATCTAACACATCACTCAGTTCAAATGTAAACTGACCTGAGGTGACGGCACAGCCGCTCCCGCCTCTCAATCTCCATCTGCAGCTTCTTGCGCAGGCGAATGTTCTGCTCGCGCTGCTCCCGCTCCTCCTTCTCAATGTGCGACACCTTCTCGGTGTGCTCGCGCTCGGCAATCTGCAGGCGGTTGCGCAGCTTCACCACCTCCGACCGGAGCTCCTTCACGTGCACCGACAGCTGCGCCGGGTCGCACATCGAGGCGGCCAGGGAGGGGGCGCCGCCGGTGCGCAGCGCCCCCGTCGCCGAGGTGGTCGTCGCGTGGGGGTTGCTGCAGCTGGCGGCAGTGGAGGAGGAGGAGGAGGATGTTCCAGGAACCACACCGCCGGCAGCGCTGTTGTTCGGCGTCGCCGGACTCATCGGCTGCGGCCCGGGCGACTGGGCGGGCGTCATCTGCACGGAAGAGGACTGATTCGAGGTTTCCGCTGTGTGGAGTAGGGGAAAGCAGTGAAAGTTAGGGCACAGAGACCAGAAAAGGTAAACAAACAAATTCACTTACAGAATGAGCAGTTGCTGGCGGCGCTGAGCGTCTCCAGCTTGTCGTGCAGGTCGCGCTTCTCATTCTCCAGCTTGTCCATGCGCTTCCACAGCTTGTTCACCAGCGCCTCCTGCTCCTGCTCCAGGGTGTTCTCCAGCTCGATCTTCTCCCGACGCAGCTGCTCCAGGTTGGTCTGCTTGCGCACCGTCTCATTCTCCAGCTTCTCAATCTTCCGCATCAGCTTATTCACCAGCGCCTCCTGCTCCTGCTCCAGCGTGTGCTCTAGGTGAACCTGTTATTTTGAAGGGTGTTTTTAGTTAGTAAAAAGGAGCTTTTAGAAAGCCATTTCGAAATGGGCGCGCCTACCTTCTCCGCGCGCAGCTGAATCAACTTTCGACTGNGCGCCTCCTGCTCCTGCTCCAGCGTGTGCTCCAGGTGAACCTATTTTGAAGGAGGGTTTTAGTTAGTAAAAAAAGGAACTCTCAGAAAGCCATTTCGAAATGGGCGCGCCTACCTTCTCAGCGCGCAGCTGAATCAACTTTCGACTTAGGTCATTGGTGAGGCACTCCTCCTCGTGTTCGTAGTTGAGCGCCAGCGTCTCCTTCTCCTTCTTCAGCACCTGAATGCGCTTCAGCAGCGTATTGGAGATGAACTCCTCCTCCTGTTCGGCCTTCGCCTGAATCGACACCGAGGCCCGGCGCAGCGACTTGTTCTCCTCCGTCAGCGCCTTGATGCGCAGCTTCAGCGTCTCCACCTCGATCTTCAGCACGCGGTTCTCCTGCTCCAGGCGCTCCAGAGAGGGATTCCCACTTCCTCCTCCCATTCCTCCTCCACCTCCGGGCGGATTGAGCTGCGGTGAACTGGTGGGCGGCGGCGGCGAGGGCGTCATGAAGGAGTTGGAACGGCTGGCCACCGGCGAGGCCATCATTGAGCTGGAGGAGACGCCCTCCATGTGTCCCTCCGATGAGTCGGCCATGTGTTGTGAGGTGGGGATGCTAAGTTTAGTACTGGTAATTTGATTGCTATTCACTTCAACGAAAACGCTTGATGCAGAAGCTAAAAGTAGAAATAGAAAAAAAGAGTAAAGAGTTAGAGAACAGCCGAACTGAACGGAAATGACAAATGCTGCAATGTAGTAGTAATAGTAGTAGTAATAATCATCATCACAAGGCAATGGCAAACCACTAATGCTGCAAACCAGCCAGCCAACCAGGTCTGAATGCCAGCGTGCGTGCCAGACGCGAGCTCGGAAGAGAGGGGGCGAAATTGGGAAGCAAACGAAGCGGCGGCAATTATATTGCAAATTACTCGGGGAGAACAAGAGAGAAGAGAGAGGAAGAACAACAGACAGAGTCAATTAGTCTCCGTGCTGTGGTTTGCAAGTTTACAGTAATTGAATGATTTGGCACTAAAAATATGACAGAAGAGAGCGAGCACAGGGCAGAATCGAGAGTGAGAGAGAGAGCGAGTTGCAGTCGACCCAGCAAAGTTGAGAGCTGGTTAGCC